GAGGACGCAATCTTAAAGGGTTAAAATTGCATTTATTTATTTCACCTAGGGCAATCTTTTATTTTTATATTGTTACTTAAGGAATTTAACATATAACAACACTTTATATTCTTAAAACTGATAGAGGTATGTATTAAGGTTGGGAACCAGGTGTTAGATGATACCTACTAGTCCTTATTCAGGGAACCCTTCGCTCTCACTTTTACAAACATTATAAAAGTATCTAAAAACCCTCCTGTCCCAGCAGTGTGTGAATCAGCACAGCAACAATACAGCAACACTAATGATGTTTTAAAAAAAAAAACAGGGTCAATCCGCTCTTGATTGGTCTCCCATTGGTCGCTATGGGCCAATAATGTCAGTCACATTTTCCCACGCTGGAAGATGATACATTTTATAAAGTTCACACTGGGTCACAAAGGGGGGATCTTTGCTCAACAGGCGGGGTACACTTGAACATATATTAAGTCCGAATAAAGAGCATTTTTCTTTAGTGTCTGTGAACAATGTCTTTATCTAAAGAACACATACTAGCAGCGGCCGACTACGAGAAACCGAGCCAGCCAAAGTGCACCCGGTGCCGGCACCATGGGATCATCGTCCCGAAGAAAGGCCACATGAAGTACTGTCCTTTCCTCCAGTGTGACTGCTGGAAGTGCTACCTGATCACCCAGCGGACGCAGATCTCCACCCTCCAGCGCAACCTGAAGAAAGCGCAAACTAACCCGCAAAAGAAGGAGCAGCGACCGAGCGCCCCCAAGTGTGTCAGCGTGGAGACACCACCAGCGGCGGTTGAGGGGACTTGTACCGCCTCGGACCCGGGTGGAGGCGCTCGTCCGTCGGGAGGGGCCACGGAGCGGGCCGCCTGGAGCCCTCTGGACCTCCGGAGCAGACCTGCCGCCAGAGGAGAGAATGTGGCCGGCGTGGACAGCGGGAAACTGCCGCCGTGCTCTTCCAGTGAGGAAGGGTCATCATGTAAGTTATATTCACTTTAATGTGTTTATAATACGTTTACTGGATGGAAACAAGTCCAAAAAGTATCTAACGTTACACTGAGGAAGTTGTTATTATAAGATAAATATTTCCATTTAGCAGAACTAGCCTCCTAAAATAATAACGGATCCACTA